GGCGGGGCGGGCGGCCGGCCGCTGCACTCCTCTGCAGTGGCCGCCCTCCACCGCCCTCCTGGGCTGCCCGCACCTCAGAGAACCACCTCCTCCTTCAGGCTGGCCCCCCTCTTGAAGAAGTGCTATTTGTGGAAGGTCTGTGATGTTCCCCTAGCCCTCCTCTCCCTCAGGGTGTGGTCACCCCACAGCCCCGGGACCCAGCAGAGCCACCGTCTGCCTGAGTATTCCGAAAGGTTCGTGGAATAAAGTACGGGTTTATTTGGGTATAAAAATCGTGAAATCTACGCATAACTTTTCCATAATACTCATTTCCTGTGAAGTTCTCAAAGATCTCTGGGTGAAGGGTCCCAGCTGAAGCACACGCTAATCCCCCCACACCTGTCTGCATCGGCCTCCCCCACACCTGCCTGTCCTGGCACACCCCATTAGCCCTAGTGCAGCTGCAGAGCCCCTCGGCCAGGGAGCCGCCCTGTGAGAGGCTAGTCCCACCCAGGGGCACCCAGCAGGACCCCCTCACTACATACTGGGCCTCCTGTCCTAAGCCCCGAGACCTCCCCCATGTTGATGCCAGAGGTCTGAGACGCCTGCTGCCATCTGCTGAGGGTCAGGTGCCCTCTGCGCTTCCCCCCGCCCAGTACCCGAAAGTGGAAAGCGGCCTCCCCGTGGAGCAAGGCAGGAAAGGGAGGGAAAAGGCAGGAAGAAGGGCCAGGCAGTCTGGAATTCCAGGGGAAGGGGCAGGAGGGAGGCTGGTGTGGGCTGGGACAGCCACCCTGCCTGCTGTGTGTGGCTGAGCCCTCCAGTGTCTTCTGGGTCCCTTCTCTGGGCCCGGCCTCCCCTAGGCAGTGCCACAGAGCAGGGTCGCAGCCAGGACTCAGTCCGCCAGGACACCCACAGGACTGCCAGGTGCAGGGCCCAGAGTGACAGAGCCTGCTGGGTATGGCCAGGCCAGGGCCAGCCTCTAGGACCCCTGCCCCCACCCAGGGAGTCCAGCAGGAACCACCGCATTCACTGGACACAGGCCACAGGGCCCACTGGGCCCCAGCCAGGG